TCAACTGACAAGGCACTAGCCAGTAATCAGCTCTGACACCCACCAGGAGGGCGGAGTGGGCATGGGCGCCACCTGCAGGCCAGAGACAGCAGAAGGCACTAGGATTCCCCAAGGCTCTCAGGTGTGGAGTTACCTCCCTGCCCGCTGGAGGATCTCTGTAGCCACCAGCCAGCTGAGGGAGGGACAGGGGCACAGGATGTCACCTGTGATCCCTCTGCTAGGGAGGACAGAGCGCCTGGGCTCCGGCATGTAGAACAGATTGAGTCTATCTCCTGCAGTCACCTGTCACCCTGGGTGACCTTGGCCCTATTCCTCAACCTCTCTGGTCTCAGTTCCCCGCCTACCAAAGTACAGCAAGGTTGGTGCTTCCAAGACTATTAGGAAGACAGGAGGAAGTGACACCGCGAGGCTCGGGGCCTAAGCAGCAGCTGGGCAGACGGCGGTGGGAGGCTGCCACTCGGCTCTCTGTCCTCTCTCCCTTGGGAGAAGCAGAGAGAAAATGAGCGTGCCTGCTGAGTAATGCAGTGCCAAAAAAAAAAAAAAAACCTTGGAGAAAGAAGACGAATCCTGACATCCTCCAGCGTTTACAACACTAAATATTTTAGGTAGCCCACGCAGCAGGGAACACACACACCCAGATGACACAATTCACTCAGCATCCCCTTCATCGGGGATCCCCTTGGCAGCTGGAGCCCAAGCCCACGGCTCTATAGCCACAGATGCAGGCGGCCAAATCCCAAAAGACGCAGTGAGGACTCAAGGTCACTGGGCGTCCAAACACATCTCTAGAGTCTGCAGCAAGACCAGCACCTGGGAAGACCCGCCACGCACTGCCGAGGAAACAGGGTCAGGGCCGGAAGTGACAGGCGTGTGCCTCAGGGCACACCAGGGGATGGGAATCAGGTACCTGGGAAGCTCAAGGTCACTAAGAACATGAGAAAAAGCTACCAGCGCCCACGGGATTGTCTGTGACAGGACGCCGAGGGACTTGCACAGCACCAAATGCCAGGCAAATGTGTCCCTCCTGATGTCTGCCTGGCCCCATGGGGACCCTGAAGGATGCTCCTATTCAAGGCCAACCTCGAGGTCTCCTGAGGCCCTAGGGGTGACATGGCACAGAAGAGGGGTGTGCTGACCACCAAGCCCTTCACTTCCAGGCGCAGGAAGCAGTGAAGACTCAGCTGCTGCCACCCTGCAGCCCCAGGAAGGACCTTGACCTAGACGGGGAGGGGACCGTGCAGCCACAGCCTCAGCAGCACTGGATGCACACGCTGCTCTGAATGGGTCAGGGGAGCAGGATTTAAAAATGCTTAGATGGCACCCCAGGCTGCATCTCTTCCCCACACCGATACACCTCAGATTAATGAAACACTCACTTCTCCTGGTGACACCAGCCACCATCCCTGCATGGCGGTTGGAGTCTCACAAAGCCCATTTCCCACCGGCGGTTACCTAGCAACAAGCCTAGCAACCTCGAAGCTGAGAGATTAATCCCCAGTGATGATCATAAAGTAACATCCACAACGACGTCGTTTCAAGGGTGCCATCCAAAGGCACACGGAGACAAAGCGTGCCTGGCGACGCCGATTAGGAACAAAGGCAACACACCGTTTACTTGTTGCTAAGGTATGGGAAAGGCAGGATTTCTATGTGCTCAGGGCGAGAACCAAGCACCACCCCCAGGCTGCCCTGTGGCCAGCAGGACAGGGAAGGTGACCAGGTGCCTGTCCCTGCGGGTTGTGACGAGCCTGGTGGGAGAAGGTATAGGCTCCGCAGGACAGCCCATGCCTCACTGCGTGCGCTCAGGGACACCACAAATGCCACTGCACCGTGAGGGCTGAGGAGCCTCCTGAAGGGCAGGCCCTCGGCATTCCCAAGGCGCTCCTGCAAGAGCCAGTCCCCACCCAGAAAGCTTCTCTGACCCCACAGACACTGGAACTGCCCAGTGGGAGGCTTAAAATGCACATTCCCAGGCAACTGGCTGCAGCAGGGGCCCTCAGAACACAGATCACTGGGCTGCTGGGTGCAACCACAGTGGCCCCAGAACCCAGGACAGGATGCCTGGTTCTGATTGTGCCTCTAGTGCTCCCCATTGGGAGGGCTGGGCAGGTCAGCTGCAGGACCTGGCATGAGTCTCCCCAGTGGAAGACAACGGTCCCCGGCCCAGAGAGCAGCCTCATCCCTGAGCTGACACTGAACTTACACCACAAGCAAGGGCCCCAGGGACCCCTGGAGCTGTCATCAAGCCCCCTTCACCAGCCAGTGGCTCCACCCGTCACACATTTACTCATCAAGTTGCCGCAAGGCTCTCACAGTCCTGCACCTCAAGCTTCAGCCAACGTTGTCACTTCGGACATTGCATGGTCTGCTTCCCTTCCCAAGGTCACCGACTTGGGTTGAGGGGCCTCTGCTTCACAAGGCCAGCATGCTGGACCTCACCTGGTGGGGTCCCCTGAACATATCCCCTGGAGCGCTGGGATTTGGGCACTCACCATCTCTCCTGGCTTCCTTAATTCTGATTTTTTTTTTTTCCTTGAGGGTCATGGGGAACTGCAGCCACCCTTCCACCCCGAGCGCCTGCCAGCTCCTTAGAGAGGGAACCCAGGAGAGGGGGCACAAGAGGTAAAGGGCTTGACATGGGGAAGCTACAGACCCAAGGCACCAGGAGCCTGGCACTGTGGACCTTGCGCACAGCCCCAGGGCGGGGGCTGAACCCACCCAGCAAGGCCTGTCTGGAAGACCATCAGCCTAGAGCCTGGGCCACCTCGGGCTGAGACTCCCCGCAGAGCTGGGCAGGGGCAGAGCGGGCTGCCGTGGAGTCATGTGCTCTACCACAGTTTCCCCTCAGCTATGAGACAGAGAGGATTGAAGCACCTGCCCGTGTTGGGTGGTATTGATGAAGGCTGAAGGGAACAGCGAGCTGGGAGTGGAGTGGGGCTCGGGCATGCGTGCTGTTAGAGGCTGTCACAGCCTCCTTGTGAAGGGGACAGGGACACGGGTGGGGGGGAGGGCTGATCCCACTGAGAAGGCCCCTGGGGGCCTCAGCACTGTACGGACCTGGACTCGGGGCTGGGGCATCCTGTCCCTCAAGCTGGGGCCTGGGCCTGGGCAGGCACTCAGGGAAGACACTGACTTTAGTTACTTGGGGTTTGATTTTGGTTTTGTTTTGATTTTTTGGTTGGACTTGGTCTCACTATGTAGCCCAGGCTGGCCTGATAATCTCCGAGATCCTCCTGCCTCAGCTCCCTGAGTGCTAGATGACAGGTGTGCGCCACCACGCCCAGCTTTTTTAAATTTTGTTTTTTGTTTTTTGGAGACTGGGTCTTGCTGAAGGCACTGATTCTGGAGCCAGGGAACCATGGCCACTTTGTGACTGCCCAGGGCTCAGAGCCTGACGTGCAGAGACCAGCGAGGGCCCTGTGGGGAACAGGCTACAAACATAAGGGCAACAGAAGCTCAGCACAGAGCAGTGGCAGGTTCCCCAGCCCCACTGCGGCATCACCCCCTCGCTGTCCCCAGGGATGGCAGTGGAGAAGGGCGGGGCCTCTGCTGAAGCAGCAGCCAGGCCCCACACAAGTGTGGTCATCAGAGGGCTCCTGAGCCCTCAGGCTCCGAGCAACGGGAGCTGAGGAATCGCACCCAGTCCCAGCCCTGGCAACAGAGAGCCCTGGGGCGTGCCTGCGTCACCCAGACCCTGGGCAAGGGACCCAGAGGCCTTGACGGGGGACCTCGGAAGAAAAGCATGCACCAAGGACACAGCAGGGACAGCACACACAGCACTCTACAGATGGCACAGCGGCTCAGGGCCACACTGCTGCCCGCTCCCGGGGACATAATTGATGGGGCTTTGGGGGCACAGGGACCAAAACCCAGACACACTCAGACACCCTGACACCGAGACCCCAGCCTCAAAGACACTCCTGCCTTGGCTCGGGGTGCCCACGCAGATGTCACTGGACAGAGGGGGGACAGGCATGACCTCAGGTCAGTCCCTCTCAGCGTGGCCACCAGTGTTATGAGCCACTGAGCTAGGAACCATAAAAAGGGCATCTGAACAGGAGGACAGACAGACGCAGACCTGTGCCTCAGTGTCCCCATTTGTGAAGCGGGCATCCACACAGTACCTGTTACACATTAGGAGGCAGTGGGTCAGGGGCTGCAGGGAGGATGAGACCCACGATTGCCAAGGATGCAGAAGGGAGCAGGGAAGGTGGGGCGATAGGAAGGGACAGACTGCAAGGTCCATTGGCCCCAGTGATCCCCCAGGAGCTCCAGGAAGGCCCTCCCTGGCTCCCCTTTCATGGCAGTTACCTCCTGGGACTGACAAAGTTACCCTAGAACTGAAGCCAAAAGTGATACACAAAGAGGGGGTACACTGCGCTCCAGGGTGAGCAGAGAGTTTGTGCACCCAATGGGGTGACCAGAGATGCCCCGCGCATCTCTCCAAGGACCACTGTCCTCCTCCCCTTCTGGGTTCCCCAGAGTGGGTTTCCAGCACCCTCAAGATCAGGAGCAGGAGGGCTGAGCCTGTACCTGAGGGGTCCTGGCCCTGCCCCCCTCAGCTGTAGGCACTGTGTGTCCCCTTTCCCCCCACAGAGGGTCAGGTCGTCCCTGACCCCCGAGCGCACGCAGCACGGGCCTGAGGCCAGGCCAGCACGTACTGAGCACCGTGTGCCAATCCTCTGCCACCATCTGCGCCTTCCCGGAACTGCGAGGTGAATGTTTCCACGTCTGATGAGCAGTTCTTTCTTGTGTTTATTATAACTGTGTCTAAGGGAACGTTCCTGAGCGGCTTAGCCCGCCTATAAAAATAAGCAACACGGAATCGTCCTGGAAGGCAAAGGCAGGGAGAGAAGTTTCTACAAACTAGGAGGATGACAGCTTAGTGGGCAGCCGGGCTGCACCCACAGTGTCCCCCCATTCCATCCTGGGAGTCCTCACCTCTGCAGGACCCCCAAGCTCAGGAGCAGGAGGGCCCGCCCCCGCCCGGTGTCCCTCACCTTAAACCTCTCAGTGACGCCCTCGGTGATGCTGACGGTGAACTCCGCGATCTTGGGGGCACGGCCTTTGCCTTTCTTGCGCTCAGGTTCATATTCAGTCTTCGTCTTCACGACCACCTTGCAGGGAACAGAGTGGCACCTGTCATACCTCTGCCCACCGAAGGTGGGCCTGGGGACGACTGAGCTCAGAGCCACGGTCTCTCCAGGCAGCAATCACAGAGTGAGCTCAGTTGCCTCTCACTGGAAACCTCCTGGTGCCTGTTCTCACAGAGCACTGACCCACGCAGAACCCTGGGCATCACCCCCAGGGGGACTTGAACAAAGGGCAGAGAGGGGACGCATACTGGCTGAGGTCACACTGCTAAGGAATGCTAAGTAATGACATGGTGGGGCCGCACAGCATCCCACTCCGAAGCCAGTGCTTGAAGCCAGGCCAATGCCTTGGCCCGGGGCCTCCAGAGGGGGCGTCTTTTTGGCATGGGGTCAGACTCGGCTCTTGGGGGGCTTCGGCTCCACCCCCAGCCCCAGTCCCAGCCCTCTTTGTGCTTCCCTGCCCAACCCCCAGGGTCTCCCTGCTCCCCCTCCCGCCTCACGCTGCGATGACGTGAGACATGCTCTCCCAGTCTGGGGACCGGCCCTGCCTCTGCCCTGGGTGCCCTCCTTGCAGCCCAACAACCTGGTTTCTTGTGCTCCACCTGCATCACACCCTGTGGCCAGAGACTGCTGGCTTCTCTGTGCCAACTGGACAAGGGGCTTCAAGGGTGGGGAGGGGGTGGAGTCACACATCCCTAGTCCCCACAGCAGGAGGCCAGTGGGGAACCAGCCATCACAAGCCGTCCTCCTGAGGGGACCTGTCCCTTCATCAGCCTGTCCATAGGAAGACAACTGCTGCCCATTATAGCAAGTCCAGGAGCAGCATTGGAAAAATCCAGCAACACGATGGCCATCACTGGAGGACAAATCGGGGGCTCCTCAGCCCAAGCTGTGACCCCTGGAGTCAGCCCACAGAGAAGGCAGGGGTGGCGTGGGGGAGTGGCCTGTGCCAGTAAGCAATGCCAGCCTGGGTTGACACTTGGGTGTCACCCTGCTGTCCTCAAATCCCAATGCACCCAGGTGGCCACTCGACCTTCGGTATGAACACAGAGCAAGGCTCAGCTCATCAGGTGACCACAGAGGAGGACGTCAGAGGAACCCCAGCCCAGGATGGGAACCTCAGCAAGAGTCTCCCCTGGATTCAATCTGCATCTGCCAGTGACAGATTAGGGGACAATGCACAGGTCCCTTGAACACTCCGAGCTTTCATTCCCACATCCATAAAATCGGGGCAACCTTGGCAGTGACCTCCAAGCTCCGTCACACTAAGGTAGCAGTCTCAGCCCGTGAAGTGCACAGGGGCGTCCACCAAAGTGAGCTGGGATGGCCCCTGCCCTTGCTGCCGGCCCAGGGACGATAGCTCCTTAGCTTGTCCACCCAAAGGGTGCAAACCAATCCTCAGAAGCCACATCACCTGGGGCAGGTGACACTGCCTCCTGATCCTGGTTGTTAGCAGCAATCACTGCAGTTCCGGCTGAGAAGTCAAGGGTGAGAGGCTGGACTCCAGACCCAGGGGAATGGGAGGCCTGCAGAAACCTGTGCGTCCTGGGCAGTCAATACTGTCAGCACGGTGGTCTTGGCGCAGCCTGGAAACCCTCTGAGCCTCAGTCTCATCTGTAACCTCGGCAGCCTTCAAGCCTGCCTGTCAGTCCCTGCTGGAACTCGCTTCTACCCTTCAGTTTGAGCGTTCCCAGGATGACAGGCATGGCGCCTTTCAGAGCCACCCCGGCCACCCCTGGGCACCTGGTCTAGCTGCCCAGGATTCTGTACCTGCCTGAGCCACTCCTCTTCCTGCAAGAAGCCAACTGTGCTGGGCAGTTCTGGTGTGGAACAGACCAGAAGGAAGAGGAGGCTCAGGCCCAGCAGAGGCAGTCACCTGACAGAGGTGCTGCCTCGGACTTGGGGTTCCTGGCACCAGCCACACTGCTCCTGAACTGAGTGGCTGGGGTTCAGGCAGGGAGGGGAGGTGGGCCCTCAGCCAGGATGTGCTAACAGCCTGGTATCCACGCAGGGAGGGCTAGAGTGGAACCAAAAGCCTTGGGTGAGCCCCTACCTCCTGCAGTCTGGCCTCTGAGCACTGAAGAATGGTCCCTGCTTGGAAAGGGGGTGCACAGGTATGACCAGCTGGTACCCTTTTCTCCTGCAGAAACACCTGCTGGCAGCCCCCCACTCAAATCCCAGACAATAGAGTTAGGGGACAAAAGCTCCCTGGGGAGGTGAACAACCTCTAGGGACTCCATGGGAACAAAGAAGTCCACAGGAAAAGGAGTCCCTGGGGACACCCCTGCCCACTCCGGAATGCAGCAAGGCAAAATCCTGAGTCAGACCTCTCCCCACCAGGGACCACATGAGACAATAAATGGAAAAGACTTTAGGGAACGGGATGGGGGAGGAGCACGTGGCAGGAGGGTGGAAAAAGAAGCCCCGCTCTGATTTTAGGCGAATTTTGCAAGACAGCTGTCAAGACTTTTAAAAGGTCCTGCGAATGGCCATAACAATACGATCTTGCTGTACAGACAACGACTTCCCTGGATGCTACAGTCCCAAAAAAGAAGGCAGGTTATAAATGCAGCAAAAATGCTCCAGGAAAGGTTGTAGCTGGCTGTTCCCAGCACAGTAATCCTGAGTGCGCCTGGCACTCATCTGGAGGCGGCAGGGAATGAACAAAGAGGAAGGAGAGGAAGGAGGGCCCCAGGAAGAGCTCACACTCCACGCGGCAGCCAGGCCAGCGGGGCAGAAAGGACCAGGACGGGTGCTGGTCCCTAGGGAGGGCACCTGGCCAAGCCCCCACCTCAGAAGGCCAATCAGGCTGGAATGGGGACTGCTCTGGAAGGCACGGGGCAGCCGCACCCCCAGACTACCGCTAGCGCCAGGGGCATGGGAGGTGTGGGGCAGTTAGGGGACCAGGGACCTGATGCACAAAAATTAAGAAGGGACTGCGGTCGGATGGAGCTGACACTCAAGGCAGGGGCCCCCCAACATCGCTGGATCCAGAAGCCAGCGAGCGTGGGTATGTCTCCCACTTCGCGTCCCCATCGCACGCGGCAATTCTTTTGTTGCAGCCGCGGGAGATTTAGGGGTGCGCACCCCAGCAGCGTGCAGAGCGCCTGGGGTGAGGGGGGCTTACCTTATCCGGGGGCGGGAACTGCAGCTGATTGACATCGAGGGGTGTCATCAGGGGAATAGTGTCGAACCCATCCTCCAGCAGCGGCTGCTTGGTGCCCTTCTCCGCGAAATTGTTCCCCAACTTCACCATGGTTCCAGGGGACCCGAGGCTGCCGCCTGCGACGGGAAGGTGGTGCGGGGGTCACAGCGAGCCGGGCCCGGGTGGGCCGCGGGTGGGCGGGCTGGACACAGGGGAGGGGCGCGCGGGCGCAGCTGGCACGGCCTGCTCTGGGGGGCTGTGTGTTTAGGGACGCATCCGGCCAGACGAAGCCCGGTGCGCAGGGACGCACTGCAGCCGGGAAGGGGGCGCCGCCCTACCCAGCCTCTGCGGACGCGCCCCTGGCCCTGGAGCCCCCCTCGCTCCGGGACGATCTGCCGCGCACCCCAGGCTCCTGCCCCGCGGCTGGGCCCGGCCTGGGCGGCACTCACCGCACGCGCGCTCCGCAGGTCTGGGCTTCGGGCGCGCTCGAGCCTCGCTCCGCGTCCGCTGCTCCCGCGCGCAGCAATGGCGGAGGCGGAGGCGGCGCGCGCGGGCCGGGCGGGGGCGCAGCGCCCGCCATCCACGCTCCCTCCGCCCCCTCCGCCTCCTCCGCCCCCGCCTCCTCCGCCCCGCAGCGCCGGGCTGCGCGCCTAGGAGCCGTGCGCCTTCGCTCTGATGTAGAGCCCGCGCGCCGCACAAAGGAGCGCGGGGCTCGTGCGGGGGTTCCTCAGGGACCCCCGAGCGCGGGGAGCCTGCGGCGGGCGGGGGGTGGAACGCGCCCCTGGGGAGGCTCCAGATGGGGCGGTGACGCCCCTGGGGAGGTGGCCTGGGCGGTGGGGAAGGAGAACGGGCAGGAGGGTGCCATGGACAGGGCACATCCCCAGAGGTGGCGGAGGTGAGAGCGGATGCCCGGCCGCAGCCGCGCCGACCCGGGTCCTAAAGGACGGGGAGCGAGAGCAGAGGCCGGCAATGTTTAGTGCGAGACTGGGAGTAGGGCGCGGCAATGAATGAAGGGGACAACCTTCGGGAAAGGGGGGCTGGTTTCCCTGGGGCCGTCGGTAGGGGCGTGGAAAGGCGGGTTCCTCCCCCTACAATGGGTGCCGCCTTCCTGGGTGTATCTGACTCCAGAGGGCCCCCGCGGATGGCACCGGAACTGGGAGGAAGAAAGGTGCAGATCACGGTGTCCTTGCACAGCTCTCCGATCACAAAGTCGGGTGCGGAGGAGGCCAGCGCAGGAAGCGCCCCTGGACCGCTAACTGAGGGCCAGAGTCCTTGGGCGTCGTTGGACAATCCACGGGGCACACTGAGGCCCAAAGCCCGAGCAGGAGTCTGCGTGGGGCGATGTGGGTTTTGAGAACCCCAGAGGCCAGGCCTTCCGCAGGGTCTCGGGCTTTAGAGCCAAGTCAGGGAGGGCTGGTGTCCCAGGCTGGCCCTGCCAGCAGCCAGGCTGAGCCTCGAAGCTGCTCTGGTGCCTACTGCATCCCAGGGAAGTGAGGACAGGTAATTAGAAATCTGGGTGTGTCCCTGCGTCCAGCCTTGTTGCAGCCCTGAAAGTGATGGCTAGCCTCAGGCCGTGGCTGTAAAAGGTGGTGGTTTTGACAGGAGCCCTCACTCCTCACCCATCCTGGCCTTTCCTGTGCTGCCCCTGCCGCCCTTGGGACTTTCTGCGTGGTTTTCTTAGTCTGCTGGTTGTACCCATGGGCGAGGCACTGCAAGCTGCAGGCCTTTGGCAGATCATCAGGCCACCCAGGCAGGAGGGAAGGGGCCCAGTGACTGCCTAGCGGAGCACACTCCAGGTAGGGCAGCCTGTCCTCTTCCTGTGGCTCAGGAAATAACAGGAAGGAATTCTCTTCCTGAGGGGCAAGGTCAGCAAGCCTCACGCTGAGGCTCCAGGGAAGAAGCAATGGTTCTTGGCTCTGCCCTCCAGCTAAGATGGCCCTTGGCGTGTGGCTCCTTCCCTTCTGCTGTCCTTGTCTCTCTCCCTGTGTCTCTGTCAGGAAATTTGTTGTTGGGCTCAGGCCTATTCAGATGACCCAGGATAAGGTCCTCCTCTCAGAGTCCTTAACTGTACTGCAGCTGTGGCCTTCCAATGAGGACCATTATTTTACCACCTGAGGTTGGATGCACAGGTTCCTGGGTTAGGATGTGGACAGTGCTCTTGGGGGGTCAACATTCGGCTCTCCGCAGACACTAAGGACATGGCGGTGTGCAGCACAGGACATGGATGGGTAACTACAGATGGCTGTGGGTGGGCTGGGGGCTTGGAGGGAATCAGATTGAAGAGGCTGTGATCACAGAAGTGGGGACAGCTGGACCCCCTGGGCTGGCTGTGGGACAACAAATGGAAGTGAAACCAGCAGTCTCCTCCTTGGACCTGGCATCCACAGGGGAAGCCCAAGGTTGCAGGGGATTTTGGACCCCCAGCTAAATGCCTCTTAGGTGCAGTGTGTTAGGAGACAGAAGGGTCACCCCACAGGGCTTGGTGTACACAGGTGGCCTGTCGTGTCCTGACTGTCACTGTCGTGGCCTGTGACACAAAGCCATGCACACTAGGGACTTTTCTGTGGCTGTAATGAAATGTCTGTAGCGAGGAGCTTTATAGAGAAAAGAGGTGCCCTGGTTCATCATTCTGGGTTTCAGAGGTGTGAGGTCAGCATCTGCTTGGCTCTGATGAGGATTTGAGCCGATGGACATTGTGAAGGTGGCACCCTGCAAGGGAGACATCACAAGTGGCGCAAGAAGCCCAAGTTGGCAGGAGAGAGGGCCTCAGGGCTCCTTAACAGTGATGTCAGTCACGGGTCAGGACTCCAGCGACCTCTTGGTGCCTCCTAACTGGCCCTGAGCTGGAAACCGAGCTTCCAATAGGAAACTCAGAGCAGGGAACCACAGCAGAGCCACGGCTTGGTTTTGAATCCTGCCTTCTCTCCTTCCTAGCTGTGTCATCGTGGGAACATAGGTGAACCTCTCAGGGACTCAATTTCCCCACCTGTGGAGCAGAGCTGTTGTACCTGCACAGCAGACAGAGGTATTGTGAGACCTGAAGGAGCTGTAATTGTATATTTTTTAAAATACTGCTTCTTTGGACCATTATTATGGCGTTGGCAGCTAGTTCTGTCCCTTGACTTCTCTGGTCTTGGTCAGGATGAGCTGACTGTTCCCCGGGCATGGCCATACAGGGCTCAGACAGCTGACAGCTTCATCCCCGGAGGCCCAGGAGTCTCTTTGGAGTTCAGAGACATGAGGCGACAGGCCCCAGCAGGGACAGCTGTAGGCGCCCAGCTCGCCCCCTTCTTCCCCACCCCAGGGCGGTGGTCCCAAGGCAGGCCTGGGCCTGGCCATGTGGGCAGCCAATTAGTGTGCCTGGTAAGCTTGGGCGTTTGAGCAGGAAGTGTGGAAGCCAAGTTCAGCCATGTGGTAAGGAAACCCAGGCTCTAATTCCTGCTGGACACAGCGCTGCCCGTAACATCACGGTGACATTTTTCTCTCCAAGAAATCTCTCCCTTACTGCAAAATTCTGGGAAACTCCAAATGCTATTTCAAAAATGCACATACCATAGGGGTAAAAACACAAATACAGTTCCTCCTGGTCCCCAGCATCTCCTTCACATCTGCAGCCCAGCCCTTGGCCTCATGGGCAGCGGGAAGTGGTCAGGATCAAATGGACTCTGGGCGTCTTCGTTTACATTCAGAGGAACTCAGTGACTGCTACCATGGGGCATTTGGGACCAAGTGTGTATTTAAAGAGAACTGTGTGCTGGCTGGATTTTTGGTTTTTAACTTTGTTTTGTTTGTTTTTGGGCTTTAGAGAAGACTGTCTTTGCTGTTATTATTTTGCCTTATTCTGGCCCTAACGAACCACTCGGCCATCCTGCTCTGCAGTGTTCACCTTGCTCTGGCTGCAAGGCCACGGTGGTGGGGTGGCCTGGCAGGAAGCAAAGAGCCTTGGGGCTCTCTCCACACCTCAGCTTCCTCTTCAGTCTCCTGGCAAGAATAACAAAGGTTTTCTTCCTTTTAGGAGACACCTCGGGATAGACACCGAGACAATTTTTCAAATGTTTCCTACTTGGTTCCCGTTTTGGGCTTTGAGATCAGATTGTTTCAGTTTTGTGTGATCAGCAGGCGTGAGGACAGCAGACAGTGGTGTCTTTTCAGTTGGCTGATCGCCAGGTGCTCGGAACACCAGAGGCTGCTGTTGTGCAGCCGCCCACCTGCCCACCTCACAGGGCTTCGGAGTGGGAAGACATTTGGGACAAGCGCTGTGCCTGCATGGCTGAGGGGACTCTCCAGGCTGCCTGATAGCCCCAGGGTTTCCCTCAGGGCTCCTAGGAAGGCAGCGCGCAGGGGTGTCTGAAGCGTACCCCATCAGATGCAGAAGCTGGAAGCCCACAGTCTTACTTGGGGGAGTACAGATGGGAGAGCCACCATCTTAGGATGAAGGCTTTGCAGAAGGTGAGGTATCCCCTCAAATTATGCCTGGCCCAGCGAGAAGGGGTACATTGGCACCGGCCCCCAGCTTGCTCCTTTACCCCCAACCTGTTCCTCTACCGGTGTGCATTCCGGTAGTAATCAGGGTCCTCTGTGGCCACAGAACCAGCAGGAGGCAGAGAGAGAGACGTGTGAGAGGAGACTTAGGAGGGGGGGTTTTGTGGGTTCCCTGACCGCACCTGTGAGCTGCAGGGTGCTGGTAGCATGTCTCACTACAAGGCCAGAGTCCTCAGACCCAAGGATGTGGTGGTATATCTCAGTCAGGGGCAAGGACAAGCACCCAGGGGCTCCCGGAGCAATTCCTGGGGTCCAAGGTCAAGGAGACGGGCACTCAGTGTCCAGGGGCAGGAAGCAGAGAGGGACCCAGCTCCAGGGAGGAAACCCCTCTCCTCTGTTCTACCTTGTCCCTGGAGATTCAGTGCACCCCGACCCCCAGCAAGGGCCACCCACCCAGTCCCCAGCCGTGGGCCCCTCTCCCCAGTCATGCCTGAGCAGCTCCTCAGGTGTTCCTTAATCTGGCCAGCATGGCACCTGCAGTCTCTGGCACACAGACCTTGCCAGCCTCCTCCCCCGCAGCTGTCCTCCCTGCCCTGGGGCCCACAGACCTCCCTGGGAGAGTGAGTGAACCTGTGTGGCCAACAGCCACTTCAGTGCATTCCTGAACGCTGGGACCAACTCTGTCCCTGGGCAAAGGTCCCCAATCCTCAAAGTCAACCCCAGTCCGTCTGGTAGCTCTGTCTCCTCCTCCTCCCCACCTGGGGACCTGGGGACAGAAGTGGCACTGTTACTGCAGCTTTGGCCACGGGACATCCCCTCTGAGCCCCACACCCTGGTCACACCTCTGCAAACGACACTTGAAATGAGACCACCCAAATGATCCCCAACCTTACCCTCCTTTGGGAAGAATTAGATGATGATTCCTGTCTCTGTCTCTGTCTCTGTCTCTGTCTCTGTCTCTGTCTGTCTCTGTCTCTGTCTCTGTCTCTCTCTCTCTCTCTTAAGAATTCTATAGGAAGAGGTAATTTTATCCCAGTACTGGGAGTTGAACCCAGGGCCTTCACACTGAACTATATCCCTAGCCTTTTATTCTTTAACTCTTGAGGCAAGGTATTGCTATATCACTG